CCTTGTATTCATCTGTCAAAATTAATCAGCTTTAACACCTTTTGTGCCAACAAGAGCAAAATGCAGTGGAAACCTTAGGTTTGTTTTACTGCATGCCTTATTTGCAATGTGGTTTACAAAAATGTGTTATGTTCTGATGTTTGAGCACTTGTTTAGGGCAACACTACATTTAACAATCGCATTTCTTTAAAGGTCAAATATTCTAAGTTTCTAGTCTTTGAATGCACTTGTGAAAATGGGATCCAGTAAAGAATGACCAGTTCAAGTGCTCTTGCAAGTTGGGTTTGCTAGCTTATGGTAACTGCTTCAACTTTTCAGATTGTTTACCTTTATGCACTTTCCAAGCTGTTTGCTGGTGTTTAGCAATGCGTATTTAATAAAACAAACTTGGTTACATGCCTCCATGTGTGCATCTGGTACAGATACAGCTGAAGTTCACAGCTTTCCCAACAAGACCTACAAGAACTTTTTTTTTTTTTCTCAAACCCATTAACAGCATATTGCTTCTCTAGTAGTTTTTTTTTTTTGTTTTGTTTTTTTTTCTTCTTCTGGCTCTATAAGGAATACAGTATTTAAATTATACCTTTCACAACTTTTTCTTGATTTGAATGTCTTGACTTTTCTGGCTTCAAATGACTCAAGAATCTAGTTCTTTCAGTGGTTTACTTTGTATAAAATGGATTCAAAAGTTTCACTGTGCTCTAAAAGGCAAGTGAAAAAGAAAATCAAAAGCTAATTTGTCCTTGTAATACTTTATTTTGCCACTAGAGGCACTGACATAACATAAACAGTCACTTTCAGCACTATAGTTGGAGAGGCCTGGTTTTAAAGAGTCTGGAATAAAATTGGATTATTGCAAAATAAAATGAGGTACAAAAGCTGTATTCATTGGCCATGACGTGTGGTAATATCAACCTTGTATTTTTGAGCAGAATTATTTGCAGAGGTGATTCAGCCTATTTGTAGGAAAACATAACTGCTTCATAGATTCTAGACTATTTCCTAGATAACCTCAGACTTGCTGTCCGTCAGTGCATATAAGTTAGACATGGTTGTAAGAAATGTGGCAACAATTTAAATATGAATCATTCAATGATTTAGTTATAGCAGATTTTTTTTATTTTCTCTTTCAGGGCTTCTATTTTTGCTCATTCGTTAAATGGAAAGTGCATTTATATCTCTGGTACCTTTTACAAGGTTTGTCTAGGCAAAGGAATTCGCTCACATGCCAAGATATGTGGTTCATTACTTGGGTTGGAGAACTGGATCAGTGCTTTTTTTTTTTTAAAGTCTGATTTTCATTGAATACTTGCACTGTGGCAACTGCAGTGGCTGAATTTAACGGTTATTGGGGAAGGTGATTATTTAAATTTGCAATTTTTCCACTGTCAGACTCAACACCGGTAAGTGAAAATGGGGACGAGCACGTTGGACGGCCTTGTGTAAGCATATCACCAGAATGATTGACAAGTAGGACGACCACTTATTTTGATGATCCACATGGAAAAACATTGTTCACTACACCTATAAAGGAGTTTATAAAAATCCTTGTGGTTTCTAAGTCCAGATACTTTGTGCAATCGTGTCTTTACTGACTTCCATGGGTTTAGAATAACCTTTTATGCCCAAATATTTGCTCCTGTAAAGATTTCTAATTTCCTTATTAGTCTGTTACTAAATTGTCTTTTTAAAACTTTATTTCTCCCCAAATTCAGACCCACCCCTTATCTGTGAGTTCTATAAGAGCTCACAGATGCCAAAAAGTTTGAAATTGACCATGAACATTTAGCAAAGTCTGGGGCTACAACATTTTACATTAACATTTTAAATTTGAAGATATTTAAATTGTTTCGTGCTCTGAGATTCTGTGAAAATGGTCTTGCATCCTCATTTCCAATTCAGATCAGGGGTTTTCTGCAGCTATGCCAGCTAGCTCTGGCTGCAATAGTGGATGTCCTCACATTTCGCTCCACCAATCTTCCATTCATCCAAACCAACCTCCCCCACTACCCCCTTTACTCCCCCCTAGCATAATGTTGCTTCACAATGTTTCACAAAGGAAACTGCTCATGGAGATGTGAAATGAATTCTACCAAACATCCAATAGCCTACGCACTGTAAAACATAATTCAGTTTAACCGTGAGTGAGCAGAACTTCTCAAACTGTTTCTCAAAAAGCTAAATAACTAAAATATTCAAGTATCTAAAAGAGGTGAGGACTGGTTCAGATCAGTTTAACCTTGTTGGCAATGGGTGTGGCCAGACACAATGAGCCAAGATGGTGTTATGACTGTTCAGCTTCTCAGTCATGCATAGTCCAGGAGTTAATTGGAATCTGGACCCATGTATATGGCAAAGGTATGAGTCAATATATTCCATTTCAAATGTTTAATAATTTCACACAGAGAAGATGACAAAAGTTTATCATATTGATGGGGTCAAAGACGATGCCCCAAACACTATCCCCTTGTTTTAAAGAGTTGTCCTTATTGACACGTCAACAACTGGAGCGACACATTCGTTATCCAGCTGTTCAGGCCTGCAGCAGGAGTGATGTGACACAAGTATCACAACAGACACAATTTTGGTAATTCCAGTGATGCCACACCTGTGATGAATGTAAAGTAGTGGTCACTGGAGTTTAAAAAAAATGACTATTGTGTTGTATTTTGTAGTGACAACCAATCAGGGACGGGATGTGGCTGTGATGTGTAAGGTACAGTTGAAGCCTTTTATCAAAATGGAAGATGTTAAAGAAATGTTGACATGAGATGAAGTAAGAAATGGTCTTAAGAGGTTTGTGATTGCTTTTTAACTTAGTCCTTAGGACTAAGGATAATTTATTCTCTCATAAAGCGACGGATCCAGCGGCAGCTCGATTCTGGACTTCTCAAGCTGGGAACACCCATGGAGGATCTGGTGGACCCCGGGACGCCAGCGTCCCTATTTGGCTTTCCATGATAAATAAAGCACCGTCACTCACTCAGTAAAGGCTGGTGCACCTTGCTGATCTAAAACAAGCAAGCAGCAGAAAAATACTTCTAATTAATGATGTGGTGAAGCAGCAGGAGCGGAGCTCATCAACTGCAGACAAGAAGGAAGCCTTTGTAGTGATCATAACCCTAACCATATTAGGAGCTTTAGGAGACCTGGCATGTAGTCGGCGGGTCGTGCAGTCTTGCTGTTTGCAGACAGATACAGTTGCGTCAAGATGGCGCCTAATGCTGGAATCGCGATCGGTGTGAACATACCACTGGAACACTGTGATCTGCTAGTTGCTTAATGTACAAACAATAATTTACCCAGAAAAAGATTAGCAGTGTCCTCAGTAACCAGTCTGGTCAAATTGTAAATAAAAAAATCATGACAAGCATGGAATTATTACATATAAAAGCTAGCTTGTGCTGCAAACTTAATAAGTTGCCCAAACTCAAAATACTGAGTGAATAAATTGCCTTGAAAGTTTTTTGATTCAATCTGAGGTTATCAGCTATTACGTTGAGTTCTACTTTTAGATTGCAGTTTAATACTGATTATTATGCAATCTACTAATGTGTTATTTTTCAAATTGGTCAAAAGTAATTTCAATGTAATTTTAAAAGATAGTATACCGGTAATCTAATTATTTATTACCTATCATCAAGCTGCCATTTATGCACTGTGCATTCTGTGAGGATGAGTAGCGATCATTATCTTTGGTAACAGAACAATTATTCAATTCAAACAGAACCAGTGAAATAAAAGAGCAAACTTTCTCATGGTGTTGCAGCTCTAGCCTCATCCACTACCAATTGGTCAGAAAATTATTGTCAAAATTAGTGCTTTCTTATTAAAGCTAAATTGTTCTTAGTTATGTCTTTTAATTTATGTTTGATAAACAAATCATTTAGATTAATCTAAAGCTAAATGTAACTAGGAATTAAAACTGTCTTTGCCTGTCAGTTTAGGTGGACTGCCATTTGTAGGCACGTTTACAAGTTCAGATGGATTAACTGCTGCTCAGTGAGATCTGGTAACTGTTTAGCCCTGAGTAGAAGAGCTGTATTTATACTAAGCTTAGTTAAACACACGCATAAGAGCAAATAGGACCCCTGTTTCATAATTTTGCTTCATTCTATCTCTATTTTTCCACTCTACAGAATTTGTTAGTTCAATCTCTAATGTTATGCTCTGTCTGCCTTTTCTCATTGTACCTTCACCTCATCTGTTCCTGTTTGGCTGTGACTCCATCCGGTAGAGAAATATCAGCTGTGCAGCTGCCATCAACACCATTGTTTATAGATGTTGGAGATCAGCCTGTTTTTCAGTGTAGTCCTGTTTCTCTGACTGTGACTGGCTGGATGTGCTCTTTTCATCCTCTGACATGGGAGCTGGCTCAGAACTCATATGCCTGGCTCTGTGTTTCCTGGACAGGGCCGCCTTTTGAAGATGTTTTTTATATCTTCGCTTCTGTCTCCTTGAACCCCAGTCGGCCTCGACAGATGGCCGCTCACACTGAGCCTGGTTCTGCTGGAGGTTTCTTCCTGTTAAAAGGGAGTTTTTCCTCCCCACTGTCGCTACAAGCATGCTTGGTGTGAGGGATTCGTTTTTCTTAGATAGAAATCTTTGACTGTAGGATCTGGGGAACTGTATAGTGCCTTGAGATGACATGTGATGTAATTTGGCGCTATAGAAATAAACTGAATTGAAATTGAATTGACTGTTGACCAATCCGGTGTCTTTTAAAGATAATTAGGTTTTTGGCATTAAAGAGACTAAATGCAACGACAGAACTTGATTATTTATTCGGAAAACAGAGATTTGAGCTTTTGTTATGAGAGAATGATGCATCCTCCAACAAGCAGCGGCCCATATAAAACTATGATATAACTGGACATCTTCTGCAGCGCCTCCATCCCCCGCCTCTCTCTATCTCTCTCCAGTAGCTTTTCTTCCTCTCTCGACCCCCCCTACAGAGATTCCTGCCTGCGCGTTCACGCCTCCCCCTTGAAGCGCGCGGCAGCAGAGAGCAGCAGAGAGGAGCGTCACCCTCCTACGGGTCGGAATCGATATTTTTAGCGTCTGCTTCGTGTTGCAGCAGCGTCAGAAGCTGCTTCTCCTCTTCGGTCCTCAGTGCGACAGGAGGGCTACGTGACACCACCGCACAGACCGAGCGTGGAGGATAGAGGGGAGAGAAAACAGAGCAGAGACTTCCCAACATCAGCTCATTATCACCGTCCCCCTCTCACATGGCCAGTCCCGAGCAGAGCCACCCCGAGCCAGCCTGCCTGGAGGCGCAGAAATGGATAGAGGTGAGTAAAGAGGGAGCATTTAAACCCGGTAGAAACGGGCCACACTGAGATATAAATAAAGCCCCAACAGCCGCGTAGCGTCACCTGTTGGGGGGCGCTGCGCAGGCTACTGTTACCGTTTGGGACAGCAAAGTTTTAACCGCCGCTTTGCACCGAGTTTGACCTAGCAGCAAGGCTAGCACACATTATTTATCGGCTTTTATCCCTTCATTTTTCTTAACAACCAGAGGAACGCCCCTCTCCCAAGAAAGAGGGGATTCCGGTTGCCATGGTTATGAAACCGGGCTGCCTACCAGCATCGGATGAGATTATCATTTATGCTTTGCTGCATCCCATCATCATCTGCTTGGATACAAAAACCCGCCTCCCTCCATAAGCCTCAGTGGTGATTCATGGAGAAGAGTTCTGACCTATTTACTTTTTACTCTCATCACTGCTTTGTCCTTTAGGATCTAATGAATAAAAGCCCAAAGGGTTGAGATAAAATGAGTTTTATCAGGATGCTGTGATGCTCTGTCACCAACCAGAGGAGAACAGGCTCTGAGAAGATTGATACTTCAATAATATAAAAGATAAATCCTTTGATATACACACACTGTAAGAGCCAATTGAATTTATTGGGACTCCTGCTGTGTTTATTTTTGGTAAATCCAGCATGTTATTTAATAACATTTTATCTATTGAAAGAAAACAACTAACTTGTGGAAAAAAAAAAACTTCACACTTTTTTGTGTACCATGGTACTGCAAATGGGCTGCACAGTGGGTAGCATTGCTTCCTTGCAGCAAGAAAGTTCCGGATTTGATTCCCGGCCCGGGGTCTCTCTGCATGGAGTTTGCATGTTCTCCCTGAGCATGCATGTGTTCTCTCTGGGTACTCCCACAGTCCAAAACAAGGACTGTTAGATTGATTGGCTTCTCTAAATTCTTCTTAGGTGTGAGTGTTTGCGTGAATGGTTGTTTGTTCTGTTCGTCTCTGTGTTGATACATTGGCGACATGTCCAGGGTGTGCCCCGCCTCTCGCCTGTGGACAGCTAGAGATAGGTACCAGCATCCCGCTTGGGATAAGCATGATGGAAAATTGATGGATTGTACTGCCAATATATGGTATTTCCTGCTCTTCTTAAAATTGTTCACTGACAATTCCTCAACAAACATCTCTCCAAAGAAGGAGTCTTCTTGTCCAGCCGTGAAGGTGAGGTGTAATACACCTTTAAGATGTGTTTTCACACCCTGAAATCAAACTATGCAGTCAGATAACTGTACCATTTTAGACCTAATATTTCTTGATGTGCCTTTTCTTTTCCAATTCAGATTTACCTTATTAAAATTTTCGATTTCGATTTTCATTCATAGATTTTGTCAGTCCAATAACAGAAAAATTATTTAAAGCTTTTAACACATTTTTAACAAGGATGGGGTAAAATATGTTCTTAATCTCACATTCATGTAAAGATAAAGAAATGCTTGATCATATAAAATCACTGTATCCAATCAGTTTAGTTCACACATAATTCTAAATTTTTTCTTTAAATAATTTCTAAAACTTAAGTTGTAATTAAATTTTAAAAGCCAAACTATAACTTATATAAAGTTGGAGCCTCGCTTTTTTTTGTTGTATTTTACATTTTGTACCTGCAGATGATCCAACAAGTCCCAGATTAGGTAAGGAAATGGGGCTGATGATCATGATAGGAAACATATGAAGCTGTGATATAAAAGGAGTACTCTGTAACATTTTCAGACCAGTTACTCAAATAAAAGCACCTACATTCATGGTGGAAAGCTGCTATGGTTGAAATTTTTCTCTAATAAATCAAAATGGTGAGTTTTCATTAACGCTCGAGGGGAAGAGCCAAGCCTCAAAGTTTGACTTCTCGGTGAAAACATTTAAATCCATGTACCTTCAGGGGACAACATCGCTTAGATGGAAAATCTTCTGTGATTGATCTACATCTAGTCCCAAACAAATATCAATGGTCACTTGCTGACCTTCCATAAGCCCTGCCCCCTAAGAAGAGGAAGTGTAATTCTTTGGGTCGGAAGGTCCCAATTTGACCAAATTTATTGAAACAAGAAAAAACTGTGTACTCTGACGGAAAAATAGTTGGTGTAACATTCGGTCGAGAGAGAAAGCTCTAGGGCAAAGGGGGTGGTAGTGGTGGCAGAGTCAAAAAATTAAAATATATTTGGCACTGTTTTCCTAATTTCTCATGCAATCTGTACCAAAGTCAACATGATTTATGTAAGTCTTAGTTCAAAAGTACACAGGAATCCGGTCCAATATTTAGTTGGTGTGGCTTGAAGGTATAATGGAGGACGTTCAGGGCTTGATGTTAACCGTTGCCCGATCGCCCGGGGCAAGTACTTTTTATTGTCGGGAGAGTACAAATTTCATTGCATTTGCCTGCCGGGCGAGTGCAGTGGCCACAAAAAAAATATTTATCACTCAAAATTACTTTAAAATCACCGACATTAGCTGAAAACGATCCAGCCGGTGCAATTTTTGTTGTTTTGTACACATTCTCGTGTGATTTGAAAAAGCCGCGAAATTTTCCGCCAAATGGCGTGATTTTTGTCAACCTAGCGGTAATTTTGATGTAGTTACCAAAACGACAAACAAGCTAGAAAGCGCTATCATATGGCAGTCTTCTGTACAGCGGTCATACATTAAAACATTTTTATAATTTTTTTTTCTCTCAGACATTGGAGAGGTGCATTTAAATGTTATAGAGCTAAACGTGTTAAATTGGTGACCTGTTATGTTATTATTATTGTCTTGTTGCTGCATTTATTTTGTC